AAAAAAATGGTCCACTAAAATAAATGAAAATACAACAGTGAGAATTAAATGAAAATATAAAAAGTAAAAATAAAATAATGAGAATGTAAATTGATATGCAGGTGGGTGTCAGATGTGGTGGCTCATCATCTCACGCCAATTTTTCAATATGCTTTCACGCGCCTGCTTTACTTGATATTAAATCATGCTCGTGCAATACACAACTTTATTTTCACCTATGCAATTTATTTTTATTTATTTTTTTAGTAAGGTTTGTGGAAGGTTTGGATTTATAAACCTGATTTGCAAACTCAAACCTCAAACCTCTCTCAAATAATAGTAACCTCACAAGTTTATGGTTTTAAACCTCTTGAAAACCTATTACTAAAGATGCTCTAAGCAGACAATCTAAATCTAGCAAACCATTTTGAATAAAATATTTGTATTTAGTCAATTGTCGTGAAATTTACTTTTTATATGACTTTGCAATTTATCATGTGATTGATATTGAAAATAATGTATTTAGTGTGATAGAATGTTATATTATCGGTTCCTTATACAACTAAAGTTTTAAGCGATATAGCAATGAACAAACCTATTGTATTGTTATAGTATACTTTGAGATTAGTTTTATCTTGATAAATGAATTATACTAGTACACTTTGTTTGTGTTGGACTGATCATATAGAGGAGACATTTATTTTATACTGACCCAGTAAATAAACCCCGATGATAATGATGGGCATATGTATGTATATATATATATAAAAATATTAAATTCACCAAAGGGGGAAATTTATTTGTTAAGTCGACGTACTCGGTGAGTTGGAGAATATTATTAATCACATGATGTGTTGTCGATTATATTTTTTCATTGTGTCCTAGTACGCCAGGATGATGGTGCCCCCGAAATGAGCTCAAAAAAATTATTATGTCAAGCCCTACAAGCGGATTGAGTTCCTACATAATAATAACATCGAGTGGTACTAATTTCATAAATCAATATGTTGATTAATTAATTTTGTAATAATTAAATTAATTAACAGACTTACAATATATATCTTAAATACGAAGAGATAAACTGAGGATAGTGGAGCCCGAGTAAATTGGGCTTGAAAAATGTAGTGCAATAATAAACCATTAATGGACTTATTTATTAGAGGAAATTGCACCACATACTAACACATTTAATTTATATAACACTTTTGTACTCCTTATATTCTTATTTTTAAAATTATCTAAAGAAGCTAAAAGTTTTTTTAATTGTACCTAAAACACAATGTTTGACCGTTTCCTTTTTTTTTTTTTGTTTTTTAAATGGTAATGAGGTATTTAAGTGAAATTAAAGATGCACTTACGCACTTACGTAAAAAATAGAAAACAAAAAGTGTTGTTTATTCTGCCAAAACCACCCCACTTACCTAAAAAATAGGGAAACGAGAGTGTTGTTCATTCTGTTCAAAACATTTCGCCCAATTCATGTTCTATGGGAAAAAATTTCGCCCAATTCAAATTTCGCCCAGAGTAGACGGAGGCTTCCATCTGTATCGAGTCGTTTTTGGGGTCGACGGCGTCGGGAGGGAGGAGGCGGATGTGTGGAAAGTGTTGATACCGAAGACGGCGAAAGAAGACTGAGATTCCTGGAATTCGAGGTTGAAGAAGAAGATTTATGGGCCGGCCCTGTCGATAGAGGAGTTGTTGGATCGGAAGGTGGAGGAGAGGAGGAAAAATTTGGATCTTAGGGCGGGGAGGGAGGGCTCGGATTTGGAGTGGAGGTGCTTGGCGTCGAAGAAGATGAGAGCTTGGAAGGGTAGGATGCGGCGGAGGAAGTCGTCGAAGAGGCGGATGACACTGGTCAGAGAGTCGAATCGGAGGGCGATGAGCTCGGGGACGACGGTGTCATATATATACAATATATATAGAGTACGGCGGTGGAAACGGTGGTGGTGGGTATGGAGGATGCTGGGAGGGTGGCTACGACGGTGGACGTGGTAGTGGTATATATTGCGTGTATAGGCAGACATTATATGTTGTGTGCATATAACCAGTATATTAAATATATACTAAATATAAACTCAATATATATTGTCCATTCAAGACATGAAATGAATATGAGTAAGTTGCTATAATATGTTTATAAACTATATATGTACGTTTATGCCTTTTTTTATTGTTTTGTGGTGTATATGTATGGTTTATTTTTCTAGTAAAATTGTTTTCAAATCATAAAAGTAACATAGACAACATGTAAACTCAACATATACTAAAATATATTCAAATACTGATTTAAAACAAGAACAAACTATTTTTTTTTTTT